GGCAAGGGCTGGGTCTTGTCCACTCTTCCATCCCTAGTAGATCATTAAACTCCTAGTCGCTGCACAGTAAAAAAGATAGATGAAAGAATAATAAGTAGCCTCCGAGGAGCCTCTGCCAAATCTTTCAGGCCCATGGATCCTCCTTCTCTGTGGGCCTACTAACCTCAGCAATTAGAATCTTATTCATGTTGGAGAAACCTTAAAAATCATCTAGCATCTCCTTCCTCCTACCATTTTACAGATGAGATGATTGAGGTTCAATTTTCAGGTATTTGCCAACAATCCTAATTTTATATCTTTGGCCACAATTTCTCCCCTGAACTCCAGACCCAAGCAGCTGCTTCTGCATCCCTGTATCCAGGACACCCCACAATGCTTGTGCATGAAAGCATCCCCAACTGGTCTCAGCACCACCCCCAGGCCTGGTCCTCCTGCAGGCTCCCCCAAACTGGTGAAGAACATCACCACCTACCCTGTTGCTGGCCAAGATGTTGGGAGCCCCCTGCCACCTCCCACAGCCTCCTACCACCAATCAAACACAAAGGCTAGTCATTTTGCCACCAAAATAACAAAATATCTCCAAATGCTCTCAGCTTCCTTGGTTTAAATGCCCCACAATTCTCAATGGGCCCCTGCAAAGTGCCCTCATTAATTGCCCAAATCTGTTCTTTCCTTGTTTCAACCCATGCTCCTCACTGCAGCAAGAATGACCTTTAAAAAATGCTTCTTTATAGGGCACCTGGGCGGCTCAGTCGGTTGAGCATCCAACTCTTGACCTCAGCTCAGGTCTCAATCTCAGGGTCTTGATCTCATAGTTGTGAGGTTAGGACCTGCATTAGGCTCTGTCCTGGGTGCGGAGCTTACTTGAAAAAAAAGCTTCTTTATGATTTAACTACTTTGCTGATAGACCTTCAAGAACTCTCTAAAGAAAATGAAATACTTTTTTAAAAAAAGATTTATTTATTTATTTATTTATTTATTTATTTATTTATTTATTTATGATAGACATAGAGAGAGCGAAAGAGGCAGAGACACAGGAGGAGGGAGAAGCAGGCTCCATGCCGGGAGCCCAATGCGGGACTTGATCCCGGGACTCCAGGATCGGGCCCTGGGCCAAAGGCAGGCGCTAAACCGCTGAGCCACCCAGGGATCCCCAAGAAAATGAAATAATTTTTATTATTATAGCCAACACTTATGGAAAATTTTTATGTCCTAAGACCTGTTCTAGGGACTTTATATATATTAACTCGTTTAATCCTCACAACTATAAATGTCCCCATGATACAGATGAGAAAACTGAGATTCAGAAGCACCTTTGGGGCTTTTTTGCATAAGCTCCTACCCTATACTTGACTCGATCTGATTGACTACTATCTAAGCTTCAGATGAGCTACCTTGAGGAGCATTCTGGCAAGTTCTCCTATGGCACATATTCCAGTTTGTAATTATGTCTTATTTTGGTGTGGGGGTAATTTGATTGGTGTCTGCCATCCCAATAGATTTTATTTTTATTTTTTTAGATTTTATTTATTTATTCATGAGGGACACAGAGAGAGAGGCAGAGGCACAGGCAGAGGGAGAAGCAGGCTCCATACAGGGAGCCCGACGTGGGACTTGATCCCAGGTCTCCAGGATCAGGCCCTGGGCTGAAGGCAGGTGCTAAATCGCTGGGCTACCCAGGGATCCCTTAGACTTTATTTTTTAGAGAGGGACTGGAGCAAGGGGCAGAGGGAGAGTATCTTAAGCAGGCTCCCTCCCAGTGTGGAGTCCCGCACAGGACTTGACCTTCCAGCCCTAAGATCATGACCTGACTTGAAATCAAGAATCAGACACTTTACCAACTGAGTCATCCTGGTGCACCCTAATGGACTTTAAATTCTGTGTTTTGCCCTTTGTTGTGTCCTCAGCATTTGCAGGTGGCACCTACACTAAGTCAACTGAACAATGGAAAAGTTCTCAAAATCTTTGTGTCCAAACTCCTCTGTGCCCAAACCCTAGCTTGGCTCTGGTATACTTGTCCAGTCTCATCTCTAACCAACCCTGGACTCAGGGCAGGTAGACCACTGCTCCTCCCCCAAGCTCTACTCTTCCCCTGTCCAGACTTGTAAGTGTTGCCCCACTCTTTCACCCCACTCTTAAACTCCACACGACTCATTTCAAGGACATCTCCTCCTGCAGCCTTCCTCTCTTCCACTATTCCTTGTGGTTAACAAGTCCTCGGCTGTTTCCAGGATTCTCCATGTCAGAAATGTTTCTCTCCTGTCTCCCCTAATGATTATTTTTCCCAATTCTGAATCCCTAGCACCTGGGACAAAGCCTGGATCAAGGTTGACTTAAAAAAACTAGGGGATCCCTGGGTGGCGCAGCGGTTTGGCGCCTGCCTTTGGCCCAGGGCGCGATCCTGGAGACCCGGGATCGAATCCCACATCGGGCTCCCGGTGCATGGAGCCTGCTTCTCCCTCTGCCTGTGTCTCTGCCTCTCTCTCTCTCTGTGACTATCATAAATAAATAAAAATTTAAAAAAAAAAAAGTTTAAAAAAACTTTGTTTTATTGAATTCTTCCTAGACCTTGGCCTTCTTCTATCAAGAGTGTGGCCAGGAGTCGGACTTTGAGTCCTGATGCTGCCACTTAGAATTTGGACAAGTCACTTCTCTCGGACCCTGTTTCCTCATTTGTCAAATTGAGCTGATAATAAAGTAGACCTACTTAGTGGAGCACCTTTGAGCATTAAACAAAATGCTGCATGTTAAGTGTTTAGTACAACGCCTGGAACATTGTTAGCTCCCTCAGAAGTTTAGTTGTTAATTATTTTAAGAAACAAAATTTCCACGGGGCGCTTGGCTGGCTCAGTCCATGGAGCGGGCGGCCCTTGATCTCCAGGTTGTAATCTGGAGCCCAGGTTGGGTGTAAAGATTACTTAAAAATAAAATCTTAAAAAAAAAAAAAAAAAATCCCACCGTAAGGATGGGGAGTTGCATGAACTGGAACCAAGGATGACAGTTCTCAGGATGGCCAGGCGAGGGTAGCGGTGAGCAGCCTCAGGGCCGGCTCTGGCTCTGCTGGTTGAGGCACCTGCTGGGGACCCAGATGGCCCGGCTGGGATTTCCGGGGCTTCCCGGCTCCTGAACAGGTGGGCGCTGGCCAGGGCTCTGTGGGAGGAACCTCCGCCGTGTGCTCGGGCCTCTCGAAGCCACTGTCTTCCCTCCTGCTGGCCCCCTCTTGGCTTCGGCCAGGGGCTGGCAGGCTAGAGGGGGCCCCAGGGCAGGGCTGCTGGGATTTATCCTCTCCAGTTTGTCCTGTGTCTTCCAAACTTGAGTGTGATCATTTCTTCTCTACAGAAGTTTTTATGGCCAAATTTATCGATGTTTTTTCCTTTGGCTTCTAGGTTTCATCACGCTTGGGAAAGTTCCATCTCCAGGGATATTAAAACATTTCACTCATGCTTTCTTCTGGTACATAAAAGGTATAAATATGCTCGTCACCTGGAATGTATTTTCGTATAAGGACACAGTTTTCTCTGATTTCCTCAAATGTTTTGCCAGTTATTTCACCCATTTACCTGAAGTGCCATCTTTATCATACACTGAATTACTTTTTGTGGTTGGATCCACTTCTCCATTCCAGTTTGTTCCAATGATTGGTGTAGCCCTGCTTCAATACGATGGTGCTTTATGTTTTAATATTATATAAGGCGGAATCTCTTTCCATTCCTTTTTCTCTAGATTTTAAAAAAATTCCTGCATGTTTATTCTACATGCACTTAAGAACCAACCCTGCAGGGATGCCTGGGTGGCTCAGTGGTTGAGCGTCTGCCTTCAGCTCAGGGCATGATCCTGGAGTCCTGAGATCTGAGTCTCTTGCAGGGGGCCCTCTGCAGGGAACGTGCTTCTCCCTCTGCCTATGTCTCTGCCTCTGTCTATGTCTCTCATGAATAAATAAATAAAATCTTAAAAAAAATCAACCCTTCACCCAATCCTTTGTCTTTGGGGTACCTGAAATTATATGCAAGTTGTACATTTGCACATTTATCCAGAGAAAAGGCCCAAGTTTTCACCAAATGTGCAAAGGGAACATGATTCCAAAGGGAGCCCCTGGTTTCCCTGTCTGTGATAGGTGCATGGGAAGAGCACAAGGGGATTTTGATTCCTACCCCTCTCCCACATCCTCACAGGCGCTGCTCTCCCCATCCTTCACCTCCACCATTGTTTCAGGTATTTCTCTGCCCTCCATCTTGTCCCTTTAATCTAGTCCCCCCTGCTGCTCCAGAACAATCATTCTATGACACAGGCCCTAGCTCTAGGCCTGATGGAGATGAGATGATAACAAAAGTTTAATCAATAGGTGAATAAAATTGAGTCCTGGCCTCACCTCTGGCCAGTTGTGGGACCCAGCTTCAGGCTTTCCACGTTTCCAGACCCTTCAGGGTCTCACAAAGTCTTTTTCTTCCCAGCAGGAACTTGGGCAAGTCATGTCTCCTTGTCTCGGCTTCAATTGTTCCACCTGTACATTGAATTTGAGTTTGTAAGCCATTTCCCCCATTTCCCACCATCTGACTTTCCTGGATCCGGTCCAGGATGGAGTAGGGGTGCCGTGGTGCCAGTGATGCCCTGCGAGGTGCCCCGAAGAGGAGTAAGGATGAAAAAGTACAGATAGAAATGGTGGTGGAGGGGGGGACAGGCATGAGGCGCGGGAGTGTCCTAGGGACGTGGAGAGCCTTGAGGCGTCCTCTAGACCCCAACCCTTCGAGGTCGGTCTCAGGTCCGTCCGGTCTCAGGTCTCGTTAGCTTAAGGGGTCGCCTGCAACCGGGCAAACCCAGGCTGGATCCGTTCCCCTGGGTCCCGCCCACCGCCCGAGGCCCCGCCCACCGCCCGAGGCCCCGCCCCTGGCCCCACCCGCCGGGCCGAGGCCCCGCCCCCGCCAGGCCCCGCCTCCCTCTTCGCCTCCCGCCGGCCGGGGCTTGGGCTTTGCACCCGGCGGCGGCTGGGAACCGTGGCGGCTGCGGAGCCGGCAGCGCAGGCGGGCGGAGCGGAGCTGCCCGGCCCGGTGGCGGGCGATGCCCCCGTGAGCCTCTTTCGCCGCCCCTCCCCGCCCCGCGCCCCCACGCCCTCGGAGTCCGCCGCCCGCCTGGGACCGGGCCGCGCCCACCGCCGGGTCCGCGGGGCGGGGTCCCCGGGGCAGCACCTGCCCCGCCTTGCGGAGCCGCCTCGCCCGGCGGAGACCCCTCCCTGTCTGGACCCTGGCCCCACCTCCGGGTGAGTCGGTAGGCCTTGCTCGCCTGGGAGTGGACGTGGGGAGGGGGCTGCGGCGGTCCGGGGGACCACCGGCGGGGGGAGGGGGTTCCGGCCGTGAGGCGCCACGTAGGGATGTGAGCGTGCGGGGTCTGGGGGAGGCGGGGGCTGGGAGGATGAGCAGAGTGTGTGTGATGGCTCTGGGGTGGGGGCCAAGGTAGGAGAGGGGAACGCGGGGTGTTTGAGGAAGCCTGGAAAATGGGGTAGGGGACCCCAGAGTCTTGAGTTCTTTGCTGATTCTCAGAGCACCTGGGGCCCTGGTCTTCAACAGCATTGCCTCGCATGGCATTTTTGGAAAGTGCTTAAAATCTCTCCTGGAAAGGGAGCTGGAAGGCAGCCTGCTTTCTCCCTCCTGCCTGTGCCCTGGTTGAGAAGCAGCCACTCTTTCCTCCCAATGAAATACCATTGTGGTGCCCAGCGGACCCCCATTCCGCCCCCCCCCCCCAGCCCATGAAAGAAAAGGGGTGGTACTCACTCCAGCCCTAGGATAGGAAGAGGGGCTTTGGAGAAGCTGGGAAAGACAATTGGTCAATCCATGGTGGGGAGCCCAGGTTTCAGGGAGGCATGGCAGGACTCTTGGTGGACAACCTGGAGACCCTTTCATTCAGGCAACTTCACTGGCTGGCCTCCAGGCTGTCTGGACCCATGGCCACATCACCTTCTCTAGGTACCCCAGGCCAGAAGAGTGGGTTTGTTCCCAGTATCCTGGGCCTGGAAACCCAGGGAGGGCCCCATAGCTCCTGTGGTCTTGAATGGAGTAAGCAATGCCATACCCAAGGCCAGAGAACAAGGGGTGCTGACTGGCACTGCCCCTTTGGGGCTAGAGAGCCTGGGTGAACGTCAGTGTCTATCCCTAGACCCAAGGGTGTTGTCTGGGTATGAAGAGGAAGGCTGATGCTCCTTTGGTCCTGTCCTCTGCCTATGATGCCTTTTTAAGTCTTGGGTCCTTGGGTTTGGGGCCTGAAATGTCAGGGAAGAGGGCCTTTCTGGGCTAGGCCTGGTCACCAGGGGGTTAACCAGCCAGCCCCCACAGTTGCTGCCAGCCACCAATTAGTCCGTAATCAGGCAGCTGCCAACTGTCCCTGGGGACATGTGGGCAGCCTACTGGGACATTCTCTGGTTGGGGGGGAATTGGGGAAGGGGTTCATGAAATCAGTGCTTAAGCCAAGCACTATGCCCTTCTGAACCTGTTCAGGGCCCAGAGACCCCCTTCCTGCCCTCAGTGCCAGGCTGCCTGGCTTAGGGACCTCCAGCCCTAGGGTTTGACACTTACTCAACCCTCTGCAGGGTCTGAAGGCAAACTTGACTTCAAACCCAGGCTCTGCCACTTTCTGACTGGGTCCTATTGAGGGAATCACTTCCCGTCTAGGAACTTCTTTGGTAAGACAGACCCACCTTCCAGCTCTGCTGGGAGGAGTGAATGAAATGGTGGATCTGAGCTGCTTCGCACAGTGCCTGGCACTCAGGGAAGCTCAGAAGAGAACTGCTGAACTCACTAGCAACCCCTGCGTCAAGGACTTGACGGGACAGGCAAGCAGAAGCCAGGTGCTGAGGACCCAGCCAGGGACCAGGTTCCTTTCCCTTGGGGCATGTGGTTGTGGGCCAGGCGCTGTCTCTGTCTTAACTCTCATGTCTCCCTCCTTGCTCACAGACATTTCTGGTCCCGGACCTTAATTGGATTTTCCTCTGCAGAGCCTGGGGCCAAGCCACTACTTTCTGGGCTCCCCCTACCCCTAAACCAGGTGCTTAGCTCTGTGGGGTCTCTCGGGGGGGTCTGGGTGATGTCTGCAGCTGCAAAAGCAGCTGGCCCTTTAAGGAGGGAAGAAAACAATTATCTGGCCTGGGCATTGCATCAGCTGGAGCCTGGAGGGTCCCTGGGGAAGGGGGGGCAGGCTGGTGGTTGATTTCATTAGTGCCATGTGAGAACTCTCACCCCAGTCTGCCCGCTCCCTGGCTGCAGCCTCCTCCCCCAGGCAGCAGCAGCCCTAGCCCCACTGCTTCCCCCTAGCCCACCCCAGGAGCTCTACCTTGGAGGACTCTGTGCACCCCTAGCCCATGTCTTGGGCCCCAGGTGGAGAGTGATGGGGAAGTATCTCTCACATTGGCTTTTTGCTGACTTGGGGTCCAGGGTATACCTCTTGTACCAGCATTTTGCTGACATGGGGAGTGTCTCCCCCATTAGTGTTTGATGAGGGGCGGGGGGCATTTCTACTACGCTGTCATTTTGTTGACCCAGGGGAGGGGTGACTTCACACTGGCTCTCACTGACAGTGGAGCTGCCTTCTGCACTAGGGTTTTGCTGACCTGACAGAGAAGCTGAGCTGCTTTGGATGTGTGTGAACTGAAGGCCCGGGTGAGAAACAGTTGCTCCCTGGTTGGAAGTGAGCTGGCTGCGAACAGTCACAGGGGCAGAGAGGACACCAGGTATCTGGGTCTCAGCCAGACCTGGGTTCAAATCCTGAATTCTCCACCACCAGGCTCTGTTGCCACTTCAGGCAAGTGATCTCAGACTCCTCTGGAACATAGGAATAATATATACTCCTACTGCCCCACCCTCATCTGGAAGGTGCTTGGGGATTAGATGCAGTGACCAGATGTACAGCACCCAGCCCAGGGCTTGGCAGGTGGAGGGTGCATACTATATGGTGATTCTCTTCCCATTGCAAGTTTGGGCTTCTCCCGTTTGGAGCTCAAGATGAAAGAGGAGTGGAGAGAAGGGGAGAAGGGGTGCAGGACCCTCCTGCCTCTGTTGCAGGGGGATGCATTCAGACACCTGACATACCGAGAGCTCCGTGAGCCAAGCAACCCTGCCTCCATGGAGCCTGCATCCTAGCCCAGGATGGCCCAGGGCACCTGTGTTGGTGTGTTGAAAGGAAGGATTCAGGGAGCCTAGGGCAACAAAGCGTTGAGGAGGGCAAAGAAGCAGGGATTAGGGGAGGGAGCCTTGTGTGCTCAGGCCTGGATGATGGTGGGAGGGGCCTGGTATGGTGGGAGAGGGCAGCTGTGGAGGAGAGAGGAGAGAGGGTGCATAGGTGCCAGAGGCCAGACCTTCCTGGTCAGTAGGATCCTCAAGGCTTAGGAGCTATCTGAGGCCAATGGCAGCCCCTAAAGACCTTGAAGCTGAGAAGTCAGGGTTTCATTTCCAGGGAGTGTGGGCTAGGGTCTGTGGCCTTCAGGCAAAACCTTCTCCGAGTGACCTTTTGCCCTCTCACACCCCCTTCCTTGGGTAGCTTGTAGCCGGCCCTGGTGCCCAGGGAGCTGGTTGTTTATGTGGCTCACCCCAGGAGGGAGGGGGCCGGTCCCAGTCCCTCCAGCTCCCTCTCTCTGGGCCTTGTTGACAAAGTTCACCCCTTGGGGACAGGTTCTCCCTACCTCCCCCAGGAGCCAGAGAGCAAGAGGCAAGGCTTTGGCACCAGGCTGGCCTCTGTTCACATCCCAGCTCTGCAGTTCATGAGGTGGTTTGACGTCTGGCAAGGCACACCCCATCTCTAACCCTCAGTGTCGTCAACTATAAAACTGAGTTGATGTTATTTCTATGGGAAAGATAAAATGAAATTCCAGATGGAAATTATAAAACCCTATCTCCATGTCAGTTGGCATTTTTATCTGTTGCTTGGGGCTGACACCTACTCCAGGCCAGGCCCAGAGCTGGGTGGGGGCAGGGACAAGGCTGGTTTCAGGAGTCTGTGGCTGCACAGAGCCCTGGGTTAGGACCCCATGTTCGGGGTCCTGCTGTCACCATCTTGAAATGCCTAATTTTGCACAAGGGGTCCCACATTTTCATTTAGCACTGGGCCCTGCATATTATGTAGCCCCACAAATTGGGTAGGGGTAGGAAGAGGCAGGGAGAGACACAGACCTGCAAATAGTTCCGCAGTGGAGGAGGTACAAGGTGGAGGGCATGACTAACTGTCCCAAGGTGGGCGGGATGTTAATAATAGTAACATTTATTTAGTGCTTACTGTGTGCTAGGTTCTCTGCTAAGTACTTTATATACTCACCCTCAAACAACCCTATGAAGTAGATACTATTATTATTTCCGTTATATAGATGAGGGAGGTGAGGTTAAATTTCTTGGCCCAAGTCACACAGCTATCAAGTAGCGGAACTGGGATTCAAACCCAGGTTGTTGGACAGCACAGTGCATGCTGGGACCAAGGAAGTCTTCCTGAGGAGGAGGGGCCCCCTGAGCTGTGTGCTCAGAGGAGAAAGAGGTGCTGTGGGGGAGGGAGGGCTGTCTCAGCTGGAAAGTGTCAGTGCTGAGGCCAGAGGCTTGGCCAGGAAAGGTGGAGCCAAAGCCTGGTGCCTCCTGGGGCTGAAGGAATTAACCTTTGGATCTCATGGTTCTGATTTGCCAAACTCAGAGCTTCTAATCACTCTGTCCCCAGGCCCTGCTGCCACCAGGACTCCCCCCACCTCTCCTTCTCATTTCACTGCCCACTGCTCTTCCTCCTCCTCCCCCTCCTCAGCCAGGTAATCTCACCACTCTCTGGACTTGAGCGGTCTCTTCTAGGCTCAGGCCCTGCGGGTGTAACTGCTTCCTGGGCCACATTTAGCTGTCTCACAATCAGCCTGGGGTCCAAACCCAGGTCCCCAGGTCCCCAGCTCCGCCTGCCGGCACCTGCTCTGCCTCCAGCATCTCCAGCTCATCTCTGCTGCCACCATCCACCCACTTGCTCAAGCTGGAAAGCTGGAAGTTCTCCTGGACACCTCCCTCTCCCTCACCCCCACATCCCACAGGCGTCCTCAGCAAGTCGTGTTAGCTCTCCTGTATCTCTCTCCCTGCCCACCGCCCCTTTCCAGTCCACCCTCGGCTCCCACCTGGACCACAGCGACAGCCTAGAGTCCAGGAGCCTAGAGTGGGCTCCTTGTGTTTCTCTTCTTGCCCCACTTTATTTCATTTTTCACACTGCAGCCAGAGTGATCTTCTAAAGATAAACGTTTGATTGTATCATCTCCCTGTG